TATCTATAAACGCAGCTGTATTGTGACACTTCAACCAAAACGTATGTACTTCATCTGGCATTGCAAAGGAAATCAAACTCACCTAACACCAAATTAAACAATACTGCGAAAACAGCGACCCATGTAAAAAGTGCGAGATCGAATTTTATCGCCATGAACGTGTGTTTCTGTTTCACTCACAATTCGCCCGACGGATTAAAAACAGCAGAACAGTGCTAAATACTGGAACAATGACGTGGGCAAAATAGAGGCTAGTCTGAAACAAAGCGCCGACATCCGAAGAAGGCTTAGAATCCGGAATACAACAATACTTATGGGTTAGGGGTAAAGGGAAACCATTTTTTCCCTAATTTTCCAAAAAAGAAAGGTCTGTCAAAATTATAAAATTTCAAGTTTAACAGATTTTTAACGTTTGTTTTGTTGACAGTCACATTCTTGTGAAAGATTTGTTGAAACAAAAACTGCCGGCTCTTCAACTCTCATCACGACAACTTTGCAAGTCAAACTAATGCTCTCTGTACTCGCACCTTTTCAATGAAGACTTTGAAGCCTACGAAGCAATGGAAGATGCTGTAGCACTGCAAAAAAATCCTCTTTAAATCCCCTCTTCAGTTGAGCAAAAGAAAATATATTAAATTGTTCAGCAGCGATAAGCGATTCACAAGCAGCTCACAACCTGTCATACGTGTCCTTATATCGGCACCACGAACTGCTTCAGACATTCAACCCCACTGAAAACATTGAAAACAGAACACAGTCGATGGCCCAGAACATTACTGGAAGTAGACCACCCTATTCCAATCTCAGGGACTTGTACTTAAAGTCGGACTCAAAGGGATTGTTGGCAATCCTGAGTATGCCTTCCAGTCAGTGTTCCTCAAAGCAGCCTAGTGTAACCCGTATAAAGCGAATTATTGGTGCCATCTTAAATCACTTTCATGAGACAACACCTCGCGAAGAATGACCACTTCACTTGTATATATAGGTAAGTTGTAGCTGTGTTTTAGCCAGTAGTGTAAGTTTAACCAGAATACTTATCTAGCATTCGATTCGTGAAGCATTCTTGGACTAAGAAACGTTCAGAAATCACATGTTCGATGCTCGTTTGCTTATGCAAACCCCCGTGCAAACCTTCATAAACTGACGAATCTTGTCGTGATAACCACAGAATAGGGAAGGAAGTCAAACGTTTCACAGTCTTGGCAAAGTCTGCTGCTTTGTTTAGGTAATTCTTCATATTCATATTTAAAATTTGATGCTTCCCTGTAAAACTGTGTTCAGTCACGACTTTGAATAGTTTTGTTGAGGTTTCTCTACCATGGNTTCGTGAAGCATTCTTGGACTAAGAAACGTTCAGAAATCACATGTTCGATGCTCGTTTGCTTATGCAAACTCCCGTGCAAACCTTCGTAAACTGAGGAATCTTGTCGTGATAACCACAGAATAGGGAAACAAGTCAAACGTTGCACAGTCCTTGCAAAGTCTGCTGCTTTGTTTAGGTAATTCTTCATATTCATATTTAAAATTTGATGCTTCCCTGTAAAACTGTGTTCAGTCACGACTTTGAATAGTTTTGTTGAGGTTTCTCTACCATGGAGGAGCAAATTTCAAGAGACTGAAGTGTTTCGTTTACAATACACTTTCATACTCCTTGTCGATCTTTAATTTTGAGACGGCTTCAAACTTCTACATCGCAAGAGACGTTAAGACATGAAATCAGCGATGAAATCAAACCCCATACGGTTCTGTCTCGTAAAAAGAAAAATATGAGGTAAAGGAATGTGTGTCATAGTAATGTTGTCAACATGTACATGTATTTAAGTTAAATAGCCAAAAAGTACTTCCTTACTTCATCCTTTTCATCCCCTGTGGGACATAGGCAACAACAATCCCTCTCCATTCATCCCTATGTTGTGCCTGAACCCAAGTGAGTTCTACCTCACTGAGATCAGCCATGACAGTTCGGCGCCAGGTGGTTTTTGGCCGAGCTGGTTTCCTTTTGCCAGGTGGTGTCCATCGCAAGGCAAC